TCTTTTGATCAGTGGTTTATAAGTGGGAATGACAGCATTTCCGTCAGCCTTCCAGCAACTCTTTTGGGGAATCAGATTTAAAAAGACTTGAGAAGTGACACCAGTCTTGAGTGGTGCCAGAGAGGCCAAGTGTCCTACTGTGTGTAGGATGCTCCCACACCCTGTGGAATTGTCTGGCATCCCGACTTCTAGATGTCCACTGGACATTTACGTAAGTGAAGCTCCTCCTTCTAATCCTCTGAGCCTGGTGCCTGTGTCCACTTGGTATCAGCACACAGAGCATGCTGGGAATTTCACAAGCCCAGAACCATCTGAATGGAGGGAAGGGCCCTTTGTTCTAATCATGCCAAAACCTGCTCAGCCTACCTGGGAATCAGGTGTAAAGATGACATTGAGTGGCGCTTGAGTCCCCCATATAACACACAGCTCTTAGTTTGTTGTGGCTGTGACATTCAATGCTTCTGGGTATGAGGATGAGCATTTGATGTCCTTATCATGTGGCCTAGTATGTCCATCCAAGTGTTAGAGTCTTAAAATGCAAATAATCATATTATATGAAAGTTACCGTCTATGGGGTTTGGGGCATGTAGAAGACTCCAAGGGGGCTCCCACATATTCCCCCAGCACTCATCTCCATCCCTTGCCTTCACCTGCCCACCTGGGCCTCAGGGACCTTCCTGACTCTGGATCCTACAGAGGACAGGACAGCATCCTGGGAGACCATGATGCCCCAGAGGCAGTCCCTGAGTGATGGCACATGGTGGCTGAACAACAGTTCACCTTCCATCTGAAGCCCCGAGTTGCTATCTCCAGAGATCCCCGTGGGCAGGAGCTTCAGTGGCCCTTGGTGGTTACTGACTGCTCACACATCCTGGCTGGACCCATCATCTTTCCCTCTGACTACAGGGCACCCCTAGCAGTGCCCCCTGGGATCATCTCCACCATCAACAACTTAAATTCATGTCTTTGTCTCAAGGTCCCCTTCTGCAACCCCTCACTGAGGCAGTTGCAAAGATCTGTCTTCAAAGGGGGACAGTAAGCACGACAGAGTTTAGAGCATCCCTGGAGGCTCTGCTGAAGCCTTGACTTTGCTCAAGGCCAAGGAGCGCATCACTGGGATGTTGGTGACCCCTCTCCAGTTGCCCCCCAAGACTGAGGTTCCCTCTCAACCCTGGGCCCATCTTGAGATGCAGTCAGTGCTCCAGCTTTGAAGAAGCACCAAAGACTAAACCAGTCTCCAGGCTCCAAGGCTCGTAGATGAGATCACAGAAACAAAGTGGGCGAATGAATGAGGGGAGCTGCCTGGGTGCAAGCGAAGGCATGCCGCGTGGCTTCCCACTCTAAGTAGAAACGAGACTCAGGAAACGTCCCCACTCTCATTCAATGAATATTTGATGAGCATATGCCAGGCACTGGGCATGCAGTGGTGGACCAAATAGACAGCATCATTTTCTCCATCAGGTTAACTGAGACCAAGACAAACTGTTTTAAAAACTAACATGGGGGCTGGGAATGTAGCTCAGTGGTAGAGCACTTGCCTGGCATGCACAAGGCCCTAATCCTCAGCACCACAAAATAAGTACGTAAGTGACATGTAGATTATGTTAAATGGTAGTAAATGCTATAGAAAAAACTAAAACAGGAAAGGGGAAGAAGGAGGGCTTGAGGGGAGGGCATTGACCTGCCTTTTCAGGTAAAGGAAGACCTGGATCAACAGAGATAAACGGCCAAAGACACACTCAGTCTTAGACCCCAAGGTTCCATAGGCTGCCAAGGGAACCACTTCATGGTGGAGGGCTGGGGAGGGTCTGTCCATGGCAGAGATGCTCCAGCTGAGCTGCAGTGGGGGTCACCATGGGGAAAGACAAAGCTCAGAGTTGGCACATGTTCCAATTTTCCAAAGCGAGCCTGGGGTCTTGTCACCTCCCTGGAGATCTTACACAAGTTGGGGAAAGTTCCGGGCGTGTAAGATGTTCAAGCTCCCTTGGTTCTTAGTATCTTCTAATCAAAAGCCAGGAATTTGTACTGGGGTGTTTCCTTTCCGTCCTGCCCTACGCGTCCCCCACATCCATCATTCCCTGCCTGGAAGACAGGAAGGGAGGGAGAGGAGGGAGTGCAGAGAGAAGATGAGTCACGAGTCAGGATTATCCAGCCTCTCGACACACCCAGACACACAAAGTCAGTAGTTGACTTTGTGATACTTTTTCCCTCAACAGCTTCAGAATAGCATGTTGCTGGAGATGGCAACGGGAAAGCCCCAGATAGGAAAGACATATTGGCTCAGGAGCCCCGGGTCTTGGCGCAGGGCACTGCCTTGGCAGAGCTGCCCCAACGTTTACAGGCTGCGCTGCCAACTCCAGCGGAACTTCCAGCGGGAGTTTTACGACCCTCTTTCATCCAAGCCACTATTTGGGCCGAGGCCTGATTACTTCTAATGACTCTGTTTCTGTAGCAATGGCCAAGTCCTCTGTCAACCTGCCGTGGCCTGGAACGGCTCAGGTTTTAGCAAAGAGATGCCCCTTGTAAAGCACGGAGACGCTAATGGCGGCTCTCCAGGAGGCTGGCCCCATGTGCCAAGAGGCAGAACAGCCAAGAGCAACAAAGCCAGTGTGCAGAAGCCACCCTGAGACAGGGGCATAATTGGCTTGTCCATTTCTAGAGATGCCCAACTCTCCATCAGTCAAGAAAAGCTTTGTCCTGCATGTTTGTGGATTTCTCTGGCTCCTGAGGAAGCCAGGGCCTGAGGATGAAGGGAGCTTTTGTCATAAAGCGTCACAGTTGGGCAAAAGTGATTGGCCCATTTTCTGGATCTGAAACACTCCTCTACGTGGCCAACGGCTTTGAACCCCAGGCCCCTGGCATAACACACGTATGTGTAACAGGGGTGCCATTAGCAGCTCTCTCTGCTCAGGAGGGCTCCAGATGGTTTCTTCAGTATGCGCCCCTGAAATACACACACCAGCATTTCTAAACTGCCACTCCACTAGGGTCCCACCCCATGACTTTTCGGGGCAGTGGGGGGTTATTGTGTCTGGTGTTTGCAGGTGGGGGTTTTTACTTAAGAGTGTAGTCAAGCAAACCTCAGGACAAGATGTCACCTATGCTGAGATGACCTCTAGATGCTGGATTCTGACAAGGAAAATGTGTGCTCTTCAATGCGGTTTTGGTCGAGTCCCCATCCAACTTCTTCTTAGCATCAGTCTCTTCTGGAAAGTCTCCCAGCTCCCAGGGGCCACCTGAAAACCCACATGCTTTGCTATTGACTTGAATCCTTTTCCAGTTTGATGATACAGGATCTTTCCTTTTCCAGAGAACAGAGCTTCCCACCACTTCCGCCAGAGAAAGCCTTTCTCCCTCTTTGTTCTTTGTTCTTCTGCAATCACAGATCTCAGAGATTCCTCAGGCTCAAAGCCAGAATCAGCCAAGATTTAGTTCCTGTTCCCTTGAAGGCAGGGAGCGCTTAACAATCAACCCTCCGATGTAGAAAGAAAGGGCAGGGGATGAACTGCTAAGTGTCTGTGTTCAAAGTCGGATGCCTAAATTCCACCTCCCTGGGGAAGTTATTCAGTCCTGCCAGGAGTCAAGCCATCCAGTCCCAACATCCCCTGAGAATGTTCCTCAAGAGTTGATATGATTTTTTGGTGGGGGGGGAGCCCAGGACTGGGGATTGAACCCAAGAGTTCTCTGGCACTGAGTCCTCCTGCCTCAGCCTCCCAACTCCCTGGGATCACAGATGTGCATCTCCCTGTCATCCCATCTGTCCATCTATCATAAAAACTAAGTCGAGTAGAAGAGTTCTTTCTGCCTTCTGCAGGTGCGAGCACTTGCGTGACTCCATACCCTGCTGTGATGTTTTGTCGCGTAACTGCTCTCACACCAGCCCTGCCTGGCCCTGCCTTGGTAGATAATAGCTCAGCCTCTGAGGGGCCATCAGTGACTTCCCTCACAAGACTGTCACAGCTTTGAAATGAGAAGCAAGGTGAAGGGCATGGCGAGTAGGAAGGCGCCATCACGTATTAGGTGTGGCTATGGTTAGCACGAGGTCGACAGGTAGACTGTACTCTGCTCGGGTCCCACCTCCTTTGGCCAGTAGGTTACTGCACACTCTTAAAAATCACAGAACCACGTGTCCCGTCACGTCATAACCATGATAGACACCAGCATCTGGTGCTTGCTCTGTGCCAGGCGATGTGCACGTGTTGGTTCCTGCAGTCCTGGCAACGGCGCCATGAGAACTACCACCATCAGCTGCACTTACAGAGGAGGGGCCTGGGCCACACAGCTCATCAAGGACAGACAGCTTTAAGGCCACACACCAGGATCAGGGCTGATTCCCTTAACTAGCACTCTATAGTGACTTGCTTGGCAAATGCCAAATAATTCCGAATTTTGCTAATTCTGCAAGAAATTTCTTCTGCCTAATCCATCCAGGTTGGGTTGGCTTGACTTACTTTATCTGACACCTGAGGGTCTCAATAAAGTTTCCTGATAGCTTTGCTTTTTTTTTGCTTTTTTTTTTTTTGATAAACCTATGCTAAAAACAAAAACCAAGGACAAATCTACTTACTCTGATTGTTTCAGGGACTTAAGATATTAATAACAATGAAACAGTGATTGAATAGAGTAACTTACACTCACTCATACATGACGTAGCGCTGAGTTTACAAATGGGACACACACAGTCGTTTTGTGACAGAGGGTGCCAGCAGCAGCTGTAGAAGCACCCCAAGGATTCCTGCCCAGTGATTTGCTTGGTTCTTGGTTTGGGGGTTGTGTGTTTTTTGTTGGAGGTGGGGCTTCTTTAGGGAGACTGAGTAGCCCAGGGCCATGAGATCTTCATATACAATGACTAATGCTTTGGACTCCATGGGAATTTTTATCACCATGATGTTATCTAAAAATGAATGCACAAATCAATAACAACATAAGATCATATTTTCACCTCTCAAGACCAAAGTGAGGGGAAACAAGGATGATACTGGACATTTCAACAGGTGAAATTATTTGATATAAAGCATTTTACTTTATTCCATCCAATCAGTAAAACTTGGAGCATGTCATATGTGCCAGGCACCATTCTAGGCACTGATGGAAACAGAATCCTTGTTTCCCTGAAGTTCTCCTTTGTTAGAGGGGAGCGAGGCAGACACTGAGCACATAGACAAGGACTAGGTCAGGTAACGACAAAGGTGAGGGCCCAGGGGTGCTGCCTCTCAGGCAGGCCACAGGGAAGAGGAGACATTCAGTAGTGACTTGAGTGGACTGGAGAAGTGAGCCTGGATGCTGGGGAAGGTGATCCAGACAAAGGGAATAGCAAGAAGGACCTCGTGAGTTCAAAGGCTGGCAAGAAGGCCAGCGAGCCTGGCAGAGCTAGATGAGGAGGGAGAACGGAAGGAGCTGAGGCCACAAGCCTGGTTTCCTTGAGTGCGCTGAGCTTGTGAGTTTCCTGCTTCATCTGTGATAGAAAAGCTTTTCTCTAATGAAAAGATGGTATGCAGGATTTAAAAAAAAAAAAAAAAAAAAGCTCTTTCTTGGCAAATTAAAGTGTTAGAACTGCTTTGTCGATTCCTTGAAATTTTCTCAACCTGGTCTGTGAGATCCAGAAGTCTAGGGACGTCTGCTGCAGGAGACATCTTGTGGCATTCTGTAGGTGGAAGTGGCAACCGTGGCGCAGGAAGTGGGGTGTCCAAAAGCCGGTGTCCCAGACCCCCTTTGCCACAGTCACGCTGTATGACATCAGGCACGGGATTTCTATTTCTGAGTTTCATTTTTCTAGTCTCTAAAACAAGAAGAGCCTCTTAAAATAAGGATCCCAAGTCAGTGAAGGTTGAAGGGTGGGGAGGGCGCGAGGGGAAGAGAGAGGCCTCCAGGGGGCCTGGCCCTGGAAGGGGGCGGCCAGGGCAGCTGGCAAGGGGCAGCCTTCTCAGACCACAGGCACCACGGGGTTAGGTCGCCTCCTCGGATTTTTCTAGGAAAAACAGGATTCATGGTTTTTATGTTCAGTCTCTCGTTGGTTAATATTAGCAACTCTATTTAAAGCAAGACAAATAAAAATCTCGTGAGAGCCCACAAATGTCTGGGTTTGGCTGTGGGGTGGTATATTAGGCCTAGGTGGTATATTAGCTATAACAAATCACCACAAGCTGGGTGGTTTAAAACAGCAGATTTAGCTCTCTGCCGTTCTGGAGGCCAGAGCCCTGGCACTACAGTGAAGCAGGGACACCCCCTTCCTGCAGCGCCTCTCCGGCCTCCCTCTGCTCCAGCCTCCCTCTGCTCCAGCCTCTGCTCCTGATTCACAAGGCTGCTTCTCCATGTGTCCCGGGTCCTCTCCTCTTCTCACAAGGACAGTCATTGGCTTAGGGCTCGCCCTAGGCCCACATGGTCCCATCTCAGTCCCATTTGCAAAGACCCTATTTCCAGATAGGTCCCGTTCTGAGGTTCTGGGTGGTTATGAATTTGGGGGTGACTCTATCCGACCCAGGACAAGTTCTGTCAATTCTGAGGTCCCTTCCATCCCCCTGATGCGGCAGCTTTAGCCACTCCACCCTCCAACTCTCCCCCGGAGGCTTGCTGGCCTCTCCACCCATCTCTGTCTTTGAGACATTCCCATCAACTTCCAAACACACATTCAGTTGATGATGGCATTAGTGGTAAAATTTGGGGGCGGGGGGCTTCCTTTCCTCTTGTATTTATAAACCTCGTCCTCACTTCTCAAGCTCCAGGGGACTGCTCTGAAAAAACCCGCCTGCTAAAATCATAATCTGGAACATTTGGGGGCAGAGAGGCCAAGCAACTCTTTCTCTTTCTTTGTCCCAGTGCATAAAGAACTTTAAGAAAATCTCTCTGTGCCTTCCCAGCCACGCTCCTTTATGGTCCTCTCTAACTACGGCTCTCTCTGAATTCCCTTTCCATCATGTTTCTGACGAGTCTTTTTACTGCTTTGTACAACAAAATGCGCCAAACCCTAAAATATGGATGTCTTGTTCTTATGAGAAAATGGAAAAGTTCACAAGAAAAGAAAATGACATAAGATGAGTGAGGCCATTCTTAGCAATGGTATTCAAAAGTAAGGAGATTAGATAATGATGCAATTAGAGCCCATTTCTATGGTTTCCTACAATTCTGAACATTGGCTGACTCCTTTGACGGATTTGGTATTTATTCTTATATCATATCAATTTAAAATCGCCCCATATGCTATGTCCAAGAGGGATGATAAATTATAAAGAAAAATATGTTTAGCGGAATTTTAAAAGGGGCTATCTGGTTTTGACCTGAGATGTTATTATGAGGCCACCCAATCGTTCTGCTCGTTTTTCCTTCTCATTTGTATTCTGAGTATTTTAATATTTAAATTGTCTTTCTTCTTATTTCCCTAATAGAGTTTATTTTAACTGGGACATAATACCCGACTACAAATGACTTTCCTCTTGTTGTGTTTTCTGATGGACACAGGGAGTTGGTGAAGAGGCTGTCAGCCCCAAAAGGGACAGTGCCTACTTAAAGCAGGGTGGGCAGAGGGACTTGGGCATCTTTGGAAGTTCAAGCCAACAGATTTGCTGATGGTGTGTCTGTGGGGCTGTAGAGAAAGCAATGAGGCAAAGGGATCTCCAGGATTCCAAGTCAGGGTGTAAAACTCAAAGCAAAGTGTGATGGCCCCAGGCTGCTGGCGCCCGAATCCGAGGGCGTCAGAGGGGGCCAGTGTGGAATCCTCCCAGGGCCACAGGTCGCTTTCCATGTTGGCATTCTGTTAAAAGGAGACTAGGTTATCTCGGATTATATTACTGCTTTCCAACATGACAAATGTACAGCAAATTCTAAGAGAATGGTTTTAAGTTGGAAAAACATCTTTTAAACAACCTTATCCCATGAAATTATGGTTTTGGTAGCATATTTTTAAAATCATAATTGTCAGAATCTTATTTAATTGAGAATTATATATATGTACATATATAGATACATGTGCATACATGTATATATCTAGTTATATGCACACACACATAAGAGAATACTAATAAATAGGTTCTAAAATATGGAAAAAATTGAAAAACACAGAATTACATCAAGTCCTATCTGCTTGCCTTTGAAAATGACTAGAGAATTAAACCCACATCCAGGTAGTGGTAAATTCTCGTGCCCCATGTCTCTCTCCTTCTACAACCTGGCCTGATAGAGGAGATGGAATGATGGGAATGGCACACATTTCCCAAGTGAAAGAGCAGCTTCCTCCAGGAAAGCAGAGTGAGGGAAAGCATTGACAATTGTTCCACTTGTCAATCGCAGCATCCATCTCTCTGTGACCTGGGAGAGGATTAAGACAGGGCAGAGAAGCTGATGCAGGGACTCTGCTGGCCTTCCCACTGGCCTGCCTCTGGGCTTTTCCATTCCCATGGTACCATGACCATCATAGAGGATATGTGACACATTTAAATTGACATTGCCCTTTCTAAATCTTTTGGGAAACACACTGATACACCAAAATCATGTTCTGCCCTGGCCCGGGGACCAGGGTCAAGTCGGGTCATCTCCTTATTACTCAAAGGATCTGAAATGCTCTCAACCCTCACCACTGTCCTCCCAGTGTGAGGTACATGCTTCTCTGGGTACCAATCATCCCTGCCAGGTGGCCTTTGCCTATTTACTTAAGCCCTCATCTCTTAGGGCCTACCACACCAGCCCCCACATGCTCCATCTCAGCCACAAAAGCAAGCAGTTCTCCCAGGACGGTGAACCCCACATGCTGGCAGGGAGGAAGAGAGTCCTGACAGATAGCCTGGTGCTACCAAGAAGTACAAAATGTTGTGAGAGTTTGTCCTAACAGGAAGCCTTGCCTTGAAGTCTTAGGAGTTACAGAAGCTCACCCTAAAATTCAAAGTCTGGGCGGAAGTTTTCCATGTGAGGAGAGGGAGGAAAACCCATCCAGACAGGGACACTGCCTGTATCGAGGTTCCAGGGTGTGAAGGAACTTGGTGTGTCAGGGGAATGGAGAGAAAATCTTCAAGGCTTCTGTGTAGTGAGAGGGGCAACAGACCCTCCTAGCTTGCTCTGGACCGAGGACATTCCCAGGACATGGGGTACCCAGTACTAAAACCAAGAAAGTCCAGGCAGACTAGGATGAAAGAGTCATCCTTGTGAAAAACAGTAGAAGACTGGTGGTAGGCCCGAATGGGTGACAAGCAGGGGCCATGTGTCAGAATTACCGTTGGTCACAGCAGGCACCTGCATCTGTCTGGCTCTCTTTGAGCTCTATGCACCCCCCAAAACTTAGCAGTTTGGAAAATAATTTATCACTATTTTTCACCATCCAAGAGTTGACATGACTCAACTGTAGTCCTCACTTGGGTCCTTCTTACAGTCAGATGACAGCTGGCACTGGAGTTACTTGGAATCTTTACTGGGTTGGATATCCAAGATGGACTTCTGCAGTCAGTCACATCTGCATCTCAGCTGGCATGGTTGGCATCTCCCCTCCACCTCCCCTGCAGGGAGAAATGTAGCTCCCCTTGTAGCTAGTTTGGCTTCCTCACAGCATGGCAGTCTCAGGCTAGTCAGATTCTTACATGGTACTGGCTTTCCCCAGCGTAAACTCTGAAAAGTCGCAAAGGTGGCAAGGTTCTCTGTGGCTGAACTTTGGAAGTCATATCTTTTGCATTCTGTTGATCAAAGTGAGGCACAGGGCTCTGTCCGATTTTAAAAGAGTGAAAATAGACACTTCTCCATGGGAAGAACAACCAAGAATTGTGCCTGTGTTTACTCTCCCACAGATGCTATGGATCAGTGTGCTTTACAGTCTCCTGGTGCACTTGATCGCCAGCAGTATAAACTTGGCCTGGTGGAAACAAGCAGAGAATCATTGCAAGACTAATGAGTCTTTCATCCAAGGCTTACAGAAGTCAAGACCCTTATTCAGATAATGCAACATTATACAGCCCTTCCCAAAAGTACTACCTGTGTCCCATACACATCACATGTCCCATATGGGGGGACAGGAAGAGCAAGCCTGTCAATGGACCTGTCTGTGCTGCAGTGCTTTCTCCTTCTTGCCACCTGTTGGGAATTCCTGCATCCTCGGTGACTATCAGAGCTCTCAGGAGTGGAGTGACAAAACTATTCCTTGATGCTTCCCTATTTATCAAGCGCCTTTTGAGTGACAGATACAAACTAATCCTGTCAAAGGCTGGCTGGTGAGGTGCCGCAGCTCTGTGGGCTTTGCAGTCTCTGTTGTGACTGGTCCTCTCCACCTGGGCACCCAAAGACCATGCACAAAAGAATGGCTGTGGCACACAGACTTTATTTACCAGAACAGATACTGGCCAAATCCTGAGGACTCCATTTTATAGGTCCCTGGATTAGATGATGCCCCTAGTGTGTGTTTTCTCCATCAGCACTAAGGGAAATAGGAAAGGAAAGTTCCTAAGATGAGAGGAACAGCAGTCTTTGCTTGGTGGTCCTGCTTAAAAGATAAAGATAATGGAACCTAATGCAGAACACCAAGACAAAATATTAGCCAAGAATAATTGCATTCAGAATCTCCTACACCTTAAACTGGAAGCCAGAAAATAATAACTCTCCAGATTCATACTAAATTTGTCCTTTTAAAAATCTGCAGGTTTGAACCTCCTATTCAACTCTAGACTCTGAACATTGATAATAAATTTAAATCCTTTTTTTTCATAAGACTAAAGTTCAAGGAGTTTTTGAAAATTCATGTTCTCCAAAATGAGAAGTTTATACCTCTGGTAATAAATGAGGAGGTTTGATATGGCTGAGACACATTTTTTATTTGAATTGTCCATTTATTAGATATAATTTTTTTTTTGGTACCGGGGATTGAACCCAGGAACACTGAACCACTGAGTCATATCCCAAGCCCCTTTTTTATACTTTATTTAGAAATAGGGTCTCACTAAGTTGCTTAGGGCCTCACTAAGTTGCTGAGGCTGGCTTTGAACTTGCAATTCTCCTGCTTTAGCCTCCTGAGCCACTGGAATTACAGGCATATGCCACTGTGCCTGGCACAAAATTCACTTTAATATGTACCTTAAAATTACCCTTGCCACATGGAGCCTATTACTTTATAGTAATAATAATTTTTAGTTTGCTTAAAACAAACTAAAAAGGTATTTATATTTTTGCAAAAGTGAGCAGATGTAAATTAAACTCCAAAGAAAAATATTAAAGATGATCCCAGGACCTGGAAGCAAGTCATGAAGACAGTAAGCAAATTAATCTCTCTTAAAAACATTGGAATATACATTTCCTGTCCCAAGCTGGCTATTCAAACACTGGACTAACTAGTCAGCGAGGACTGGGGCCATGTGGGGCTTTTGTTTATTATTATTTTTTTACTTTCTTTCTCCCTCTCACCTAGCACAGTACTAGAGACATGAAAGTCCACAATAAACAGAGTGAGGTGATAAATTAATTAAATTGTCATTCAGATTATTAGGTCAATTTGGAGGCATAGAAAGCAATCTGATGCGACCTCATGTATAGTATTTCAGTTGCTGTGAAGCAGTCTGAAGTTCGCATAGCGGAAGAGATTAGCTTGTTTAAAATCAGTCAATTAGAAGTGGACAGTCTCTTGGGATGTCTTTGCCAAGCGAAGCCCAATGGTACCATAAATCAGGATGTCTAATTGAAGCGATGTTTTAGGAATTAAAGAGCAATTAAATCAAATGGGGAAGTTTCTAAGGGACACCTTTGACACCATGGGGGAAGAGTCAAAGCCACCCCAAGAATCTATGGGAAAAATGGCTTTCTTCCAGGGGGCTTGCTGGCTGATAATTATCAGAGACATCTGTGATTAAAATCCCCTTCCTTCCAGAGGCTTTATGATCTTGCAATAGATTTCCCTCATGTAACATCACAAGCCAAGGCCAAGACTTGCTGAGGCCTCACAAATGCAACCAACTGTGGAAGAGATTTGGGAAGGGAATGTGCAGCAAGAAGTTTTGGCCCGCAGAAAACTAGTTTTGAAAAACAAGTTCCCAAAATAGATGGCAGAACCTGTGTCTATTTACTCAGGGAAAATAATGCGGGTCATTTTCTAGACCCGTCCCTTCTCTCCACCGCCATCACTCACTCGAGCAGATGGCTTCCGCTGAGCCGCTTTTCTCACAGAGGAACACTTTCATATCTGAGGCACATATGTGAGGACGAGCAAGAAGCCACAGTTCCACGCCATTTGGAGACGTACACACTGGGTCATCCTCCGGGCGCACCACAAGCCCAGTGGCTGCTGTTTCTCGCATAACCTGTTTCTCTCCCTGCCGAATTCACAACAGAGCTGCAGCCAAAATCCAAATGGCAGATGTCCCTGACCTTCCAGGTCAGCCCTAAATGTCAGATCTGTGATTGACGCGGGGGAGCAGAGCATGTGTCTAGCATGCGCAGAACCCCTTGGTTCTCTTCCCAGCACGCAAAATAAAAGTGATCAACAAAGGTCTATTATACTCATCCATTCTAGATTGCACCCTCCACCAAAGCTAGAGAACAAACCCATTTGCTTGACAGCTCCAGTACCATTTTCTGTGATGATTTGACCTGCTTTACCATCCTGAATCTTTCATTCATTCAAAAATATGTATTGACTGTCTCCTAACTACCGCGCAAAGAGCTCGTTCCTCACCGCAGGGGATAAGCAATAAAATGTAGATGTTGGTGCAACTGACTTCCTTTTCATCCTATAAATTAAATTCTCTCTTGAATTCCTCATTATGCCTAGAGGGAGAAAACCCCTCAGTCAGTGCAGGCTCTTCCAGTTAACTCAGGGTTCCCCACCAGTGGGTCTCTCCTTGCTTCCGCATTTTAAAGGACTAACTCAGGGCAACCCATGGCAGGGAATGGGAATTTGTCACCACCTCTGCTAACACTTCCTCCCCAGAACCTGTGGTGTCTGTGTACGGTCCCCTTTGGTCCACAGCAGGGATCACTCTTCCCAGGCTGGCATCTGCAGAGACGGGCACAGTCCCAAACCACACAGTCACCTGCTGTCTCCTGTCCTCATCCCCTTGTGAACAAGCGCTTTCTCTGCCAGTTCTTCTTCTCAGCTGAATTCTGTACCCTTCTTTGGGGACCAGATAAATGTTGTCCATGCCCAGAATCTATTCTAAAATCATGACAATCAAGACAAGTGGCTTACATCGTGACAGTAGAAGGCACACTGAGGGGTTTCCCAGAGCTTCCAGTATATATCTCTGGTCCTGGGACCTCCTTGAAGAATTCTGAGTCCTGTCTAGCTCTAACCCACGTGTGGTGGGCAGTCACTTCAGAGTTTTTCTCAGCGTCCCACCCAGCACTCCCAGAGACTCTTGCCCTCACCATATCTCAACAGTCCTCACCACCTCTGGGGCTGGGGCTGGTCCTAAGTAAGGATAGAGATTGGCTCCGCAAGTGTTTTGTCAAATTTACTGGGCACGCCAGGTCCTTGGCCTTTGACTCTCAAAATCCTAAAGTTTGGTTCTTTTGCATTTGGGTTCCTCCCTTATGACCCTGCATCCAAACAGGGAACAGTCATCACAGACAAAAGAACAGGAAGGGAGAAGCCGTCGCTGTGTTTCTGGAAGGAATTCCTGTACCCCACAGCTCCTGGGGGATCTGCTTGGCCCTCACACCCCCTTGGCCAAGGCTGTCCCTTCTGTGCCTGCAGCCTCCATGTGAGCCAGCAGAGCAGGGATGAGCACAGGGGCCCGCGACAGGGAACAGCTGGAAGGGGAGGTCACACAGGATGAGAAGCAGCAGGCTCAGGACGAGGCTATTGGAACTGCTCTCTGTGGCCTTTCCCAGGCGCTCCTGGCTCCCCTGGGCCTGCGATTTCCTGTCTGGGTTGTATCATTCAGCACCCGGAAGACTAGACCCTACAGTCACAAAGATTAATAGTAACACAAATGTGACTCCAAACTCTCAGGATCGGAGACGACCTGGCACAAAGGAAAGAACAAAGCTGGGTGCTTCGGGTGCAAGATGGGGCTCCTGCAGCTCCAAGCTCCATCACCTTGCCAGTCCCTGCCCCATGGGCCTCTGTGTCCTGATCTCTACAATAGGACACTGTCCCTCCTTCACAGGCTTTTGGCCGACTATCTACAAAAACGTTTTGTATTCCAGAAACACTTCGCACGCGCCAGGCACCATTTGTATTAGTAACTTGTGATGGACCGGAACACAGGACTAATCCTGGGATGTGCCCTGGCAGTTCCGTGGGGTGACAAGTCCATGTCTGCCATTTAGAACTATTTGTCACTTAACACAAAAACCAGAAAGCTAGCTCTTTTCCATTTCCACCTAAATACGCCGTTTATTTGCATTCTGGAGGTGTGCAGTGCTCAGGGATGAACTATTTCCCCAGCATCATTTCAGGAGGTAACTGAGAGGAAGCTTTCCCCACCCATTGCCGGAGCATTCCAGGGTGCCATGTGAGCCCCACCTGCGGCTCTGCATCCTGCCCTCCCACTGCTGTGCAGACCTGAGGAGGTCAGCATGGTTCCCTGGGAAGGTCATAGGCACAGAAGGAAAGTGTGAGGGCCACAAAGATCCCCCAGGAGCTGAGGGGTACTGGAATTCCTTCCAAAACCACAGGGAAATCTATGTGGGGAGCACATAGTTGGGAGCTTGGGGCCATCTCTTGCTCCCAGACAAATGGCAGGCGGGCACAAGGGGGGACAAAAGAAGACATTTGTTACTGAGGTCAAGGGGTTGGGCGGAGCTGGCCACTCCAGGAAGGAGTGTCCCAAAACTGCTTTGTGAACAGTGCCGCTCATGGTTAGCCCCGTGCAGGTTTAATTTCTCTAAATCCAATTAGAATTCAAATACAAAACTTTCAACAATGTT